AACCATTACGCCTATGGAGAGTCCCCACAAGGATAGCAAACTGTGTGTGTGTGTGTGTGTGTGTGTGTGTGTGTGTGTAAACCAGTTCCCGGCCCTACCAAAGCAGGTTAGGGCAGTTCTCATGTTTACCTGCCTACCGTCTTAGCTCTGCCTCTTTTCTCTCACTTCCTGTATCAGGTGCATGCATGTGTGAGTCAGGAGTTGGCGTCCCAGTGCATGATATGATGGCCAGGGGTCTCTGGACTGAAATACTCACTTGAAGACTATTGGGACAACTTTCAAAGTTTACCTGACATCAGGGAAATTTTTAACCTGTGGCCACAGGGACAAAGTCCTCTTATTTTCTCTTTTACTTTCTCTCATTCACTCTCCTTTCTCATTTTCCCTCTGCCGGAGCGGTTGGATTACTTGTTCAGGTAAGCAGGAGAAATACACCGGTCTGAATATATTTACTCAGCACATTTTGTCTGTAACTTTCACCTGATGCTGATTTTTGTTTGATAATCATGTACTTGTTGACTCAGAACAGCTGTGGAGAAACTTTCTTTGTGTATAAAGCAAGATGAACCCTTTGAAGTCACAAAGCCTGTGAAAATGTGTGTTTGTGCACATGGAGGCATGTGTGTAAGCATGGCGCAGGTGTTGATGTTCATATATTTGTAGTGTAAACACCTTTAGCTTAGATTGATCATCGTCATCATTATTCTTTTGGTTAGATTGAGATTTTGTCAGCGGTTTTGACCACCAGCTCTTTAGCCGGGAAAACCAATAGCATGTCACCTGTCAGTATGCGTGAATGTGTGTGTGTGGAAATGGAAAATTATAGCCTCACTTTTGCTATGTTTGCTGTTATCTTTATTGAATTTTACTGTATATGGCATAACTTCTAGGTTTTATCAGCGATAAGACATTTTATGGAGTGTAAAACATCAGTCCTACAAAATACTTGTCATCTGCTAGATGGCATTATATATTATATTATATTATATTATATTATATTATATTATATTATATTATATTATATTATATATTAAATAGTTTTTAATTAAAATATTTTAAAATGTAACATTTTAAAATTTGAAAGACCACACTAAGAATTTTTGAACCACACTGTATATGTGACAACATCAGTGGAAACAAAAGATGGCATAGAGAGGAACAGACAGGATTACTGAGACAAGATCCTAAAGGAACAGAATGAAAATGTATTGGAAGAAAAGTGGGTTAAAGAGGAAGATAGGAGGAGAGGGGTTCATACAGGAAGAGGCTGAAAACGAAAAGGGTGGGGGTGAGCTATGTACATTTCCATATGAACACTTATGTAACTCTCCCCACGCTATGCTGGGATGAAGTTTTGATGTTCCTCTCCTACATACTAGAAACATAACCTCATTTCTCATGTGGACTGTGTTTGTTCAAAATGTCTCTTCTGAGATATATTTGCATTGTTTGTAATTATTTTCCTCATGCACTCACTCACTCAGAACACCCACTTTTATCATCTCTTTATGAATGTTATTTTTTGTGAGTGGCTATGCTCATTAATATCCATAATTTCCACTGAATAGTCATTATATGTGCATTAATCACTGTATGGATTTATTGCATTATTCATTAGCTATATGACTCAACAGTTGAATGTCTAATCAAAAGGGAACCCTAAGGCTCCTCGTTAGGTTGAAATCAGAGTATCCAAAGATTCCGATACACTGTGGAATGTTCTTCTAAAACATGTCTGAACAAAGAGTGGTGAAGTCAAATACAGATCCACAGCAGGAGCAAGAGAGCAAGAGATCCACCCTGCTGCCTCTTTTCTTACAGTGCTGCCTTCATCAAGCGTGGTATCTGTTCAATTCTATCAGAAGCACGGGTGGTATTGAAAGGCTGAGATGTTATAGGGAAAAAATGCCATCTATAAGCATTTTCACTAGTAGTCTTAGACTTTTGGACCCCACTATATATTTTTGTGTCTGCTTTTGCATTAATTCCTTCATTGTTGCATTGCTGTGCACTTTGTGTGATGGGAAAGTATGTTTGTCTGTGCTGAGTGATATAAAAGTGCTGGCACACAACACACACACACACACGAGACAAGGCTGATTAGGCACAAATGATTGAACCATTAATACACACTACATGTTCTGTGTTTGTCTGTATATTCCTTCCATTAAACCATTTATTGAGGATATTTTCAGCTTTTTCAGTCATTAAACATTGATCCCACTGGATCTAAGATTATACTGTTATTTTTATTTGTGTAGCTTTCTGGTTGATTGTGCACTTTAATGCCATTAACACTCTTTTAAGCTTAGTACACTTACCACCGCTTTCCTCTGTGCCAAAGGTCACCCGAGAAACAATATTATCTCCTCGGAGGAAAATATGAGTGAAAGAGTCAGAGTTGAAAGAAAGAAAGTAAAATGAAACAAGTAGCTATTAAGTCCTGTCATTCTGTTTGTTTAGAACAATGGATTTTTCACTAGAAGTGCCTTTGAATGCGGGAAGACAAAAGAAAATGGAAAATTCCAATTGAATAAGAGCCGCAGGGTAAAAGCGATTATTGTGTGTGTGTGTGTGTGTGTGTGTAATGCAATGCAGTTGCATACTCAAGCCATATCGTCACTCTGAAGGATCATTAAAGAGATGATGATTTACGGAGAACGCAGGGTTGCCAGGTATAACTGTGTCCTTGGGCACACTCCTTTATGGGTGGGAGTGTGTGTGTGTGTCCTCTTATATAGTCCTGGTTAAGCTCAGATCAGATTACAGGGAGGCAGACAATAAAGCTATTCTCATGCATTCACCTGCAGTGCACTGTCGTTCAACGGTCTCCTGTTCAAATCAACAGTGGGTGACTTCACAAAATCGGAGAAGCCATATTCAAACTCACAGAAAGATATAATGAGACTTTGAGAGTGTACACTATGTGTTCAGTGCAGAGATTGTACTCAGTGAGACACTCCAGACAAAATTTTATGGCAGTAATAATATTACACTCCCATCATAACCATACAAACTCCCACGTGCAAATGAGTTGTCTGTATACAACAGGTGTGGTGATACACTCCTTCTTATGCAAGAACATCCTGACCACAGCATTTCTTTAACAAGATAAAGTATGAAGTTAAACATTTGCCATTATTTACTCACCCACATGTCATTCAAAACCTGTATGCGGTTGTTTTTACTGTGGAACATTTATTCATTTATTATAAAACAACAGTTTACAGAGACTATGTCTGTCAAGCTCCAAAAAGCTCACTCTCTCCTTTCAAAGGTAAATAAATAAACAAAGTTACAGGTTCAGAATGGCATGAAGCTAAAGCTAAGCTAGGAGTTTATGTAAACTCAGCTACATAGAAACACACAAACACAATTCTTTCCACTAGTAAATGACAGGCTCACATGAAGCCAGGTATAACTGCTTCTGGAAACATCCAGAATAATGCTAGCAAAGTAGCTGTTCTCTGTGTGACCATGCTTAAAAGTTCTACTGAATAACTGCTAGTTATAAAATGACTTTTCTTTTTCTCCAACTGGGTTTATTAAGAGTCTCAGGTGCAATATTGATATTTATGTTGCCAGTGGAATATAAAATGAGTTTTGGATCAGTCTGATATTTATCCTTCTGCCAGCTCAGGGAATTAAAAATAGAGTAAGAGCAGAACGGGCAGAAAGTAAAAACTCATTTTTGCTGCCCTCTTTTTGCTAAACTGTGTCTTTGGGTGTGTGCGAACTGCCTTTCCAGCAAACACAGCTAACAAGATTATTATGTGGACACACCTATTTGCCATTAATGACAGTTCCTTTCGTTTTTCTTCTTCTTTTTTTATGTGCTCCTCCCATACAGGTGGATGGCTCAAAACGCAACCTGACACAACAAAGCCCTCCAACCACAAAGATTCAGTAAAGCTTCGACACAATTACACAATGAGTGATCAGGAAGAGGAGGGTGCTGTGGCGATGCCCATTTGCGGTGCAACAGGAATCAGTCCCACGTCCCCTCCTCCTGACCTTTGCCATGTCTGTGGACAACGGCACTTACAGGAGGAGAACCATGAATATTCCTACAAAGAGGAGGTGGATGATGACCTTATGTGCCACATCTGCCTTCAGCCTTTGATCCGGCCACTGGACACCCCCTGTGGACATACCTATTGCCAGGAGTGCCTGACAAACTTCCTGCTGGAGAGCGACTTCTGCCCGGTGGACCGCACTCCCCTGATGCTGCAGACCTGTCGCAAGTCCAGCCTGCTGGTGCACAAGCTGCTGGATAAACTGATGGTGTCCTGCCCCTTTACTGAACACTGCACTGAAGTGATGCCGCGGGGAGAAATAAAAATAGAGTAAGAGCAGAACGGGCAGAAAGTAAAAACTCATTTTTGCTGCCCTCTTTTTGCTAAACTGTGTCTTTGGGTGTGTGCGAACTGCCTTTCCAGCAAACACAGCTAACAAGATTATTATGTGGACACACCTATTTGCCATTAATGACAGTTCCTTTCGTTTTTCTTCTTCTTTTTTTATGTGCTCCTCCCATACAGGTGGATGGCTCAAAACGCAACCTGACACAACAAAGCCCTCCAACCACAAAGATTCAGTAAAGCTTCGACACAATTACACAATGAGTGATCAGGAAGAGGAGGGTGCTGTGGCGATGCCCATTTGCGGTGCAACAGGAATCAGTCCCACGTCCCCTCCTCCTGACCTTTGCCATGTCTGTGGACAACGGCACTTACAGGAGGAGAACCATGAATATTCCTACAAAGAGGAGGTGGATGATGACCTTATGTGCCACATCTGCCTTCAGCCTTTGATCCGGCCACTGGACACCCCCTGTGGACATACCTATTGCCAGGAGTGCCTGACAAACTTCCTGCTGGAGAGCGACTTCTGCCCGGTGGACCGCACTCCCCTGATGCTGCAGACCTGTCGCAAGTCCAGCCTGCTGGTGCACAAGCTGCTGGATAAACTGATGGTGTCCTGCCCCTTTACCGAACACTGCACTGAAGTGATGCCGCGGGGAGAAATGGAGGGACACATCAGGAGCCGGTGAGGAAATCACCCTCAGAGTTGTTTTTGATGTGATAGTAGTGATCTTAACAAGATTTGAGCTTCTTGATTAAATTTAGGATGGTGGTAGACAGGTTTGGAAAACGTACAATGTGATTTAGCTAAGTAGAACATGGATCTGCTTCTTTTGTTGGTCCTGGAGCAATATTGCTTTCATCATAACCCGAATACTACCAGGGGCACTGTTTTTGAGAAATATCATTGTTTTTGAAGTTTATTTTACCTGAAGCCAAACAGCTGCATTGATGCAAACACTAAGCAGCCACCTTACTATGGCAAATGCTTATTTAACTGTCAATTATGTCAAATATTTAATTTAACTGGCCTATTAAATATAAATTAGGTAATTTTTTTTAAGGGTTAGTTCACCCAAAAATTTAAATTCTGTCATTAATTACTCACCCTCATGTCGTTCCAAACCCCTTAATACTTTTGTTCATCTTCAGAACACAAATTAAGATATTTTAAATGAAATCTGAGAGCTTTCTGACCCTCCATAGACAGCAATGCAACTACCACGTTCAAGGCCCAGAAAGGTAGTGAGGACATAGATAAAATAGTCCATGTGACAGCAGTGGTTCAACCTTAATTTTATGAATCTACGAGAATACTTTTTGTGTGCAAAGAAAACAAAAGCAATGACTTTATTCAACAATTTCTTCTCTTACTCGCATATCCCTCTGCTTGTAAACAAGGCGCAGTGCGTCTGGGTTCTACCTCTACGTTCAACTCTGCGTGTTGAAGACTGACATAGAAGAGAAGAAATTATTGAATAAAGTCGTTATTTTTGTTTTCTTTGCTCACAAAAAGTATTCTTGTAGCTTTATGGTGGAACAGTTGAACCACTGATGTCACATGGACTATTTTAATGATGTCCTTACTACCTTTCTAGGCCTTGAACCCATGTTATTTCCTTTGCTGTCTATGTAGGGTCAGAAAGCTCTTGGATTTCATCAAAAATATCTTAATTTGTGAGTAATTAATGACAGAATTTTCATTTTTGGGTGAACTATCCCTTCAATATTCATGAGCCAAGCTGATAAGTTTTATAATTGTGTCTGTCCATTTTCCGGCCTTTCTACAACCCTGATCCTTACCATGGTGCGGTCACATTTACCGTTGCTCAGAGAAAAAAAAAGCAGAACCAGATGTGACAAAATACCATGAATTACATGTATAGTGACAATTAATTGAACATCCAAAGCTATTCTGCCAGCCAGCAATCAAACCAACCCTAAATAACTGCTTTCCAAACAGACTTTTTTATTGACAGGTTTATAGTGTTGGTGCTGGCTGAGTAGTTGCCGCTCGTCCATTGTGGATCTTCTGTTTTGTTTTGTTGCTTAGTTACGAGTTTCTGCCCACACAGAAGTCACTGATGAACATCAACCAAGAGGCTTGTTATTGGACATTGCTGAAAATTAGCAGAGGGAAATGTATTCACCACCAGAAGTTTATCTGGCGAAATTGCATTACACCAATTCCCATTGAACTGACTAGATTTCACTTGTGAAATTTCGCCAAGCAACAGTAAATGTGACCACACTGTAATGTTTACAACCAGATGAAATCATGAAAAAATAGTGGTGGGGAGATAAATATGAGGCCATCCCTAGTCCTAATAAGTTTTATTGGTTAAAAAAGGACATTTTCAGTAAGGACTCATCTTCAATTTGAGGTTAACATGAAGGATTGGCAAAGCACAGTTTAATGTATTGAACTGTATAAGCAAGTTTTGAATTGCTGAATGTGACTGATACTCTTCATCTTCTCATTGGCATTCATAAGCAGCTCTTCATTCATTGTCATTCATAAAAGACTCTTGTCAGCGATTCGCCTCAATAAAAGACATGTGTCGAGCACATCTCCGTCTGCGTGCATGCATTTGTTTGTTTATTTCGTTAGAGGATTCTTTTGTTCTCCACTCCTCAAGAGGTAGCAACCCCACAGTGACCTCTGTTTAACCGACTAAGATATCTTCCACCTCAGTGCCTTTGGGGACGTTATGCTAACTAATGGTTTTTATTGGAACTCTCCCTCACTCTCGCCATTTTCAGGATGGTAGAGTCTCTGTCGTTCCTGTGGACTGTTTCTGAATCATTAGTGCTCCACAGGCCTGAGGGCCTCTGTTGAAATTAATTGCATTTTGTTACTGGCGTTAATGGAAAGTTTCCCTCTCATTTAAAATTCCACTTACGGAAACATAATCAACTTGCCCTTTTCTCCAGTCAACCAAAAACCCACACTTGCTTCTTTCCATACTATTGCTCCTCTCCCCTCCCACATCCTTCTCTTTTTATATTCTGGGCTCTTGGGCTTTCAGTTCATCGTTCTTTGTCTTTCTCTTCCACTCCCTGCTTTCTCCGATGTGGTCTGGTCTCCAGTGGTCTTAGTTGGTTCGGGACTGTAAAGTTGGACAACATTCAAAATGGGACGGGACTTAAGCGGAACAAGAACTGGTGAGGACCAGCCAAAGACTCTTTCTATGTAAGAATGGCCTTCAATTCACTTCATTTTTTTTTTTTTTTGAGAACTTTTGTACAAAGTACAAAGTTCCTCTTGATTCCATGCATGTAAGCTCAAGAGATGCATTTTTACATGTCAGCTGCTACAGATTGTGTTTGTGTCCTAGCATTTGTGGTCATGTGATGTTTAACCGTGAGGCTTCCTTCACACTGGTGACTCAAAACTGTGTGGTGAGAATATTTGGTGTACTGAGTCAGTTTTGATGCTGCTTTGATGCGTTTTAGCTAGTTTGCATGTGCTCTGGAGCTTTGTATCAAATGTTGAGAACTTTGTATCTTGTACTGTATGTTGGTCTGGTTACATTTTTTTGTGTTTGCAGTCAAGCACTTCTAGATGCACTTTGTCTCTCAGTGTGCATAAGCATGTATTTGGCGGTGTACAGACTTTCCTGGAATCCTAGATCAGATCTGGGTAGAGAGGAGGGAATGTACCGCCTTAGGATGTCCTTAGGCTCTTACAGACCTGCAATATTGATGATAGCACATACTATACTGTCACCAAATCATACAGTTATTGAAACTGCTGTAAAGTTTGGAGATCTATGAACCTATAACCATTGTCTGATTATGTGATCTTGTGAGTTATTGTCTCTTTGGAGAATGATTGAAGAATATTCAAGCTATAAATAGAGTCTATCTATCTATCTATCTGTCTGTCTGTCTGTCTGCCTGTCTGCTTGCCTGCCTGCCTGCCTGCCTGCCTGCCTGCCTGTCTGTCTGTCTATCTATCTATCTATCTATCTATCGCTAGAGTCACACAGCTGAACAGACAGATGTCTGTTTCTATCTGTCTCTTTCTGTCTATCCATCTGTTCATCTATACATTCATCTATCCTACTGTCCATCATCCATCCTCCACATGCCTACCCTCTACACACACGTACACATAAACACACACACCGCTTCATAGCTGAATGAACCGTTGCGTTGCAGAGGGGGGTGGTCTTTGCCACACGCTCTACCTTTGAGGCATACGGACAATGATAGATGGACCACCCAAGCCTGCATCTCCCCCTCTCTCCCGTGTCAGTTGGTTCACCCCAGTTCTCTCTCTCTCTGTAGAGCATGCTGCAGTATAAGTCAGACGCTGTGTTGCCACACTCACACATACTCTCCCTCGCACATTCACAGCAGTATGTGGGCTCGTGAGCGTAAATCCTCTCACTCTTGGATGATGCCCAGGACAGATTAGACTGCAACGCAACCATCGCACCCGACGGGCGTGCCAGCAAACGCCGCTCTCTGCCTCCTCTTCTCCTTCTACCTCAACCTTCTCTTTTCTTCTTCATCTCGGCTCCAGTGCACCTGCGCCCGCTCCAGATGCCGCTCCTGCCTCCTTTTCTTCTCGAGTCTTTCTTCATCCTGCACTCTCTGTTCTCCTCCGCTGGCAGCGCTCCCAGTCTTTTCCTCTCCCTCTACTGCTGCTGATCTCTCTACTGCTGAGATGACCGGGCTAAAAGCCTGAGGGAGGCAAGGAAGGAAAGAAAGAAAAGTGGAAAGACAAAGAAACAAGAAGAAAAGGAAAAGGAAGAATAGCTTTTTTACTTGAGAGAAAGGCGGGAGGGGGGGTCAGAACTGTAGTAGAGGTGGAGGAGGCAAGGGGCAGGGAGGAAGCCGGATAGGAAACACTGCATTCAGCCTAGGGAAAGAGAAAAAAAGCAAAAGAAAGAGAGACTCAAGACCCTGGAGAGAGAGGGTCATGAAGGCTCTGCTGCTGTTGGTTCTGCCCTGGCTCAGTCCAGCAAACTACACTGACAATGTGGGCAACCTGCACATCCTCTACTCAGAACTGTGAGTAACACACATTGTCCTGTGTGCCTGTCTGGTATGAGTTGCGTCCCATAAGTACCATCTCATCTAGTCTTATACAGGACAAGTCGCACTGTACCCCATCCCATCCAGTACTGCAATGTGTGCATCTGGTTGTGTGTTTAGGTGTGTGTTTGTGTGTGTGTGTGTGTGTGTGCGCGTCCATACATCATTAACCTGCATAAATCCCAATCGAT